ATATGAGGGATATTACTTACTCCAAAATGTTATCAGTTATATAAAATAATACTGTTTTTAATGTTTTCAATAGCCTTAAACAATATACAAATACGGTTACCATTTGGTTGTTCTTTATTCAATGAATTAATACCACAATATTACATAACTAAATTGGAAACTGAGGGAATGCTTGACTGACCATATTATGAAAAAATTACTGATAATTTCAAACACCACTTAGGAAATTCTGTTTTCTTTTTAACAACTAAGGTTTGGCAATGTTAATGTATGACATATTTGGAATCAAAGCTAGAAACTGTATTCAAATGTACAAGAATCCAATAAGATGTCTGTAAGAAAAAATGAAGTTGATGATTCAGGACAAGAGTCAAAATTTTAATTTTGCCACCTTCTAGGGGGGAACAAGTGGCAATGTTATTGTAGCTTTTACTTCAAGATCCCATTTCAAATAAGGTCAGAAAAAAATAAAAACGATTTTTAGACAAGTCGATTTCTTTCGTCTCCTAAAATACCCGGAATTGCGAAACCTTGTAAGTGCCGTTGTCTCAGTTTTCTAAGTGAGCAAATTTGCCTCCATTCAACCGACTTAGTATCCCTTACCGTTTCTGATATTCCAATAGCGGCAGTCGAATTTGGAGCACCCGGTACGATATAATGACTACTTCTGGAACTAGTGCTTTTTTTCTCATCACATGAGCGCAGTGGCGTTGGCTAAATTGACTAACTTCAACAACATACATTACATACCTAGTTTGACGAGTGAGCCATTATTGGATGAGCACTTTTATAACCTGAGGCAAATAGCGTCATCTATGGAGGAGTGACTCAACCGCACGCTTAATGATCATTCTGCAAGTCAGTTCCCCAGCGCTTTGTTGGTTGCAGAATGCCAAGATAGTCTGAAGAGTATATATCTGAGAACATGTGACAAGTGTAAAGTCTGATTTAAATGACTGGAAATAAAAAATAATGTAATATGTAAATACCCTTTTCACATTTCACACATTTTTCTATCTGTAGCATATTTTCTCACCTGCTAATAGTCATATACTTCACCAACCAGGGATTTCTTTCCTTATCTGTCTCATTTTTGATGTTCAGCAAATTCGAATATGTAATTTGCAGCACAAATATGAAAAATTGGATGCGCAACTAGTTTCTAGCTTTGCGAACATCTCAAGTAAGTTTATTTGAGACAAGAAACCAATGGAATTATCATCAGCCCAGATTATTAGCATACAAATTGTCATTATATGCACCTATCCACTGCCGTTTACTTCCAGCTATAGCATACGACTTACAGCTTAGACCTCCAATAATGCCATCTCTGAAGCAGATGTTACATCACATTAGAGACAAACATTGATAACTGAAGCGTTCTGACGTTTAAGCAACACGTAACATACAGTTACAGAACGAGTATTCATTAACGGGGCTCCTACAATCAAGAGCACCATCTGCTGAGGTAACGGGAGGAGTGAAAAGGAAACGAGGGTGGGCTGGCCCTAGACGGCCGTCAGCGCTACTTTAAAAGAGGAAAGGATGACTGCGGGTGCATACCAAGGTAAATTTTTATAATAACAGAGTCGGATTTCGATTAGCGATCTAGAATGTAAATCGATTCTTATCTTGGTACTCAGCAAGTGACCATTTAGTATATTCCTCCCCTTGTTACTGTTCGTCGATATGGTGTTGTTGAATTGTTGTGCTGTACTCTTGTTGGTGTGATTGTTCTTGAGTGCCCTTTTTTATCAAGGCTGATAATGGACAGTAAAGGGTCGTATGTGACCATTTTAATTACGTATGCAGTGAGTTTAATTCGTGGTGGTCAACAATAGTGTGGAGCAGTTCAACTCTATAATCGCAAAATACATTGGTGTAAGCGAATAAATTATTGAAGAAGAGCTCATACCATGAAAGATGTGCTGCAGTTGTAGTGAGCCACAATACCCAGCGGCCTGTCTATGTGGTCTAAATACATTTGCGTTCTAAGCTTAGTCCAACTTCGCTTATCGCTAAGATGTAACAAAGACTCAAATGCAAGAATCTTGAAAAGAAACTCAGGCCAAAAAAAGCTGATATAAAAATAACTAACAATTCGGATAACAATTCCAAAGAAAATGGATAGTTTTATGGCGAATTTAGTCAAAAACCTGACATCAATGACATTGATTTGGAGGTTGCTAAGCACTTTGTGGCGGCTTCATCGGAAGATAAGGTTGACAGCGTCTCGATTTGGTGAAGTTTGTAGAAGAAGGCTCACAACAAGCTGTGAAGTTCTAGTAAACTACATCATATAACGAACAGACTTTTCTAGTAAAGCAATAAAAAAGGCAATACAAAAATCATTGGACACCGCAGTTCAATCTTGTGTTTTGTTTATTGATCGCACACATCCATTTCTGGCAGCATCGCCTCCATGTACCTATTACAGTAGACAAGAAATGTACTTAGTCCAGGTATACGCCTACCTGTTTATTGCTTTGTAAAAACTACCTATCTGTTTCCTCTTATTTTGACGGCATAAGATATTTTTATGACCCTCGTTCAATTGTTACCCTGTACCACATGACCCTTGTAAACATAATTGTGTTTATTGACATGAATAAACGTATTTGAATTTGAGTTCTTAGGAAAGATAACAAATTATTTGAATACGTCTTTTCTTAGTCGGAACGCACCGTCGCGTCGCTTGGATTGGCAGGACGAAACAGTAAACGAATTTCGCCCAAAACCCGATTTGCATTTCACAGCTTACGTTTCATTTTTTATTATTTCCAAATGAAACTCTTGCAGCGTGCTAAAAACAAAGTGAACAGGGTGCTAACGATCCACTTTTTCGATTTTATCCACTTGGATCTTTTTAAAATATCAAGAAGTTGAGCACAAATATTTGCAGAACGATTTGTCTATGCGATATTATATGAAATAGGGCCAACAAATTATCTGAATACGTCCTTTCTTAGTCCGTACATTGCGCCGCAACGCTTAGGTTGGCAGTACGAAACAGACAAAATTCGTCCAAAATACGATTACGAAATTAACGCTTTATTTTTTGATATTTTTGAATGAAATACTTACAGCGTGCTGAAAACAAATCCCCACAGGGTGCTATTGAACCACTTTTTCATTTTTATCACTAGATTCCTTTTCAAAAAATCGCGAAGTTGGACAGAAGAAGGGCGCGCTTCAACCCCTCAGTAAACTTGTGCAAAAACAAAATTTCAAAAAGTGCTACTATAGCACCCTCGGCAATTATTTTCTGAACATACTGTATGAATTTCATTCAAAAATATTGAAAAATGGGGTGTCAGTTTCGAAGCAGCTGAACCCTTGTAAATGGCTTGAAACTCACTACGTCGGAGCCGCCTTAAGCGAACAGCAGCTAGTCACAAAAAACCTATGTAATGCCACTTTTCAAGATACGTATTATCCCTCCTGATCGTTTTTTCTCATAATCATTCATTGAGATTTACCTATCTGGGCCCAAAACTGATGGAAAAATTGTTTAACATTTTGTTTAACAAATTAAAAAACCTGTTTTTTCGCATAGACATAGTTTTTTTAGGTTTTTGTGTAATCATGAATAAAGAATCTTCCAAATAACTTTCCTATAGATATAAGCGATTTGATATTTGAAGGAGTGCGAGTTAAGCTGGTTTCGACACCGCAATGCAATATGAAAATATGAAGGTTTAAATCATGCCAAACTTCTTAAGTATTCTTTAAACATCCATTAACAGAATTCCAAAGCACTTCAGGGGTACTATTCTTGTAAACCTGTGTTTTTACTTCCCACACTAATGTGCGAGGAGGTATTGTAACCACGAAAAAACATTTCACTCATTGTCGTCTGCCTGTCTGTCTGTTTGTCAAAGTTACTACTATGCCAAGGACGAAACAGTTTTGTAGAGTTCAAAAATATTTCAAGTAGCGGTGGGCACAAACACAAAAGAATCGCCCAAACTCCGTTTTTTTCACGTTTCAGACGCTCCTGAAAAAAATTTTGCAGGAGTTAAATTTTTACGTTAAGGGTTGTGAGAGGTGTGGGAGAATATATGTCAATATTTTGGTGCTAGCAATGTATAAGCTTCCAACTCATAATAATATGCAGCTATTTAACATATTTCATAAGTCAAATAAATTTCTCCGTACATTTGTCCTTGAAATTTGAATTATGAATATATATTTTCAATGTACGCATGCGGGACAACTCAACGAGCCTCTCTGCTATGAATAGCTAGGCATGACTAGCCATCATACGTGTTTTCGTATATAATATAACCCCGTGCTCGTCGTACGCAATGTTTTTTACGAGGGTCTAGCTTGTACCGAGCATAATATTTTATGAATCGATGGCAGCGTTGCTTAGGAACTGCCGAGTCCACCAACTTGACGCCATTTGCTAATCAAGAACGTGTTCAATACATATTCTACGTATGTAAGTGCTAAAGGGATGCGGCATTGAGGCGGCCTCTAGCTACAGAGTAAATAAGCAATTCGTATTGACTAATGGCCCTAAATTTAAAGGAATCAAATGCGTCGTATTTCAATGAATAGATGTCAAATACGTTTTTCCAACACACGAGCGAAAACACGAGAATATACTGCATGATTTTTGAAAAATTAGATCTAGATTCCCCTCCTAATTGCACCATTGATATCATTACGGAGATGCTGATCACGTCAGTTTGACAGTTCTTAATCTTATTGATCAAATAGAATCATCCTAGACACAGAATTGATAAACCAATATAATTCAACAGCAGAGAAGGTAAGGAACAATAATTCATAAGAATTGTGGTTCTCATTACCATAAAGTAAATAATCAAAGGACATTAGCAGGCGGTACGCAATTAGGTACCCACTTTTCCAGTATTTAGTAGCAGGTAACGCCCATTGCTATATTGTTGGTATAGCTGAACAGGTAGCGAGCATGTGAAAATCCTGTGAACACGTGACAAACAAGGGCATTGCAAGGTATTAACCAAAAATCATTGTTTATCCATATTCTTTATTGTCTCTTATAAGTATTTGCAATTTTGAGTACCTATAGGCGTTCGAATAAGTCTAGTAAGACATTGAATTCTGTACTTAGTTGCAAGCTGGGGTGAGTCGTCAGTTCCAGTTGATTGGTAACTAAAAGCAGATTACAGATCGAAATATCGACATCAGTTCACAAAACCTTCATTAAACTAAATAGTAGCGTTTTTTTAATTGTTCAATGTTATGTTTAAAGATACAGATATAAGGTAGATTAAAGACAAACGAGTGACGATCTATAATACTCCTGTATTTTAGTATCAGGGTCAAAACTAAAATTCCACGACCTGGCGCTTGGCCTGTCATATTCCAGATCGGGCTCATTTTTTATCTTGGGAGGTATATGGAGGCACGAGGTTTTGTCAAATTTCAGGATCCTAGGTAGAACGATTCGGTCTGGGATCACCCTCTTTTGGATGTTCAGCGAAAATGTAAATGTTAGCGTTTTGGCAACTTTTCCCTTTTGTCGCTACTCATTTCATTGGAAAGCATCAGACCTCATATTCCCAAGTAAAACTGTCAAAGGAATTAAAAGTAACCTTCAATTACGATATGATAATCTATTTGGAAAATTTTTCACTCAAACGTAATTTTTTCGAAACGTTTCACTGGTTTATTGGGCTGATGACTCGACCGCCTTCTGGGACGAAAAGTGCACATAATCAGTTTTTTGTTGGATGGATGGAGTTTCGTATTCGCGCCTTTAAATTGTTCGGATAGGCCTTTGGATCCAATTTTTGATATTTTTAACCAAAATTCATTTTCATGATACTGGAGGGCGGGTCATGGCTCATATCGGGCTCAATTTTGTTTTCTTAGGAGGCCCTTTGTAAAATCTTATATTCCTACATCAAACGATTTGGTCTGGAGATGCGTTTGGTTCGAAAAAATCGGAATCTTAGCCTTGTCCGAGGAAGTTAAAAATGACACTGAAATTGCGATCTGATAATTTGTTCGGCAGATACTTCAAAGTCAAAAGTCATTTTTTTCGAAATTTATCAGTATTTTTTTAGGCTGATAATTCAAATGCCCCCCGAAACGAAAAAACCGCACAATCAATTTGTTTGGTAAAGGGAAATGATCAACCTGTTGCTCTATATGAGTTAAATTTTGATCTTGGGTCTCTAATTTGGTCGATGAGACATTTAGGACAAATTTGTCATATTTTGGCCCAAAATTTACCATTTCTATCATGCCAAATGAGGTATATGCATGGCCATGTAGATTGATCTAGTTATAGAGATTTGCCTTCTCTAGATACATCAATACATTGCATAAAGTCAATTGGCTAGCGTAGCTATTAAGATGTATTCGCAAGAAAACTAATAGTTCAGTGTATCCAAGAAGAGCATTACGATCTCAAAATCTATAAGTAACAATATTGGTTGAATCCGGCAAAGTTGCTTAATATAAGTACCATCCACATGCAGTATACAAAATTTGGCGTTCTTCTGATTTTGAGCTAATCGGAAAAAATTTTAATGCAATTTTTCGAAATTATATTTGCTTCAAATAACCCAGAGAAATGTATGTTGGAGAACTAGCTCGGTGGCGTAATAGTTTGGGCTGCGCGTCTACCAACCAGCTGCTCGGGTTCGAAACCAGCCTCAAGAGGATTAACAGACACATCACTATTAATGGGAATGAGTATCATTGAAGAAAAAGCTAAGTATATGAACTTAAAAATTTGAAGAGGTTGAAAGTTACAAGTATATTTAGGAACGGTTTTTAAAACAAGACCAGATATTGCGGAAGAAATTCAGAATAGGCTGATGGTAGGTAACCGGTGTGCTTACTCACTGAATCGACTGCGAAAGAGTAAAATCATGTCCAGAAAGGCTAAGCTGAGGTTATATAAAACAATTATAAAGACTTATTGTCATTTATGGCAGCGAAGTATGACATTAAATAAAGCAGAACAAAACAAAATAGCTATTTGGGATAGAAAAATCTTACGCAAGATATTAGATTGGTAGCGGAAGTACGATGGATATGTGCGGAGAACGAACAAAGAACTGCAATCAATATATGCTGAACCTGATATAGCAGGAACAGAAAAGGCTCAAAGCTGACGGAGACCAGAATTCAAAAAAGAGGACTAATAAGCAATATTGGTGGAAAAAAGAGACGAGGTAGACCAAAAACCAAATGGAAAAAGGAAGAGAAAATTAATATCCAAGTGTTAAGAATTAATAATCGGAAGGATAAGGCAGTAGACAAGAAATGCTGGCGACAATTACCACCCAGGCCATGGCACTATTAGGCCTTCAGTGCTGAACTATTTATACTGTAAATGTAGATGTGGTGATCGTCCGTACGTGGTAAACGGCTTCAGACCATCGAGCGTGGAGATACTACCCGGCAGATCTCTACCGTGGGCAGAACTTGTGCGTGTCACAGACACACGTGTTCCCCTGCTTGAGTCTGTGTAACGTCGCCCCTTTCCTATGTATCCCTCTATAGCACCACCGTACCCAGCGATATTTCGTCCTGCGTGGCGACTCAAGTATGAAAAAGTGATATGATATATTCCGTGAGTTGACATACAACATGACAATTTTCGAGACCTAGTCATCTGTTGCTGACCGATTGAAGTTGATGAACATCACTCAATAATTGCGTTAATGCTTCTTTGACCGGTTTTTTCTCCACGGGCCAGGACAGCAGGCACCTTGTAGACATTCCACTTCCTTAATGGCATATTTACATCTTTATACGAAACATCCCTTTCAGCACATTTTTCTGACGTTGTCTGCAACTCCCACATCCCACACGTTTATTTTTATAATCCAATGTTTAAAACCCGAAGTGGGGCCGCGGGCAGGCTCGCGGGCCGAGGACTTGACTGTTAACTGGAGGAGAAGCGCAGCTCAGTTTTTGGGTGCAGCGACACACGCGATATTAGCTGCTACGTACACACCTGCTGGCGGAATTTTCTTTTTTTGCCTATCGGTTTCTTAAGATTTAAGGTGAGTTTTGTTATGTCCTACTAACGAGTTGTTAAGGAACATCTAAAACTTGTGTGGTTGCTTTAATGTTTCATTGTGTTTTATCATTGAATTGGTTCAACAACAATACGTGCAGAAAGATGTTAGTCTGTTGCCAAACCTATACTCATTGCTTAGCACATTTTTAGCAGTATAAATGGAAATATCATTTTAAAAATATTATGAACAAGATGAAATAGCTTTGTTCCATTACCAGTACTTTCTCAATACAGAATTGTACGACCATCCTGATATATAGAACGGACTCAAAGAAGAAAGCTATTTTTTTAAAGAGTTGCAACAAAAGAGAAAACTTTAAAACTTTCATTTGAAGTTCGTTTTGTCTCTTCAACGGGTCAAAGTACGTACATAGATCACAAGATCAGAAGAAAATTTAATTTGTTGCTTTAATGTTTCATTGTGTTTTATTATTGAATTGGTACATCAACTAATTTGCGCATAATATATGTAATTTCTAAATAGATTAACACTCAAATAAGAGCATATCGTACGTTAAATGATCATAAAAATAATCAGTTGCGGAATCTTTTTTTGAGAAATCAAATCAGTTTCCTTCATCTCCCCCCGTCACACCTAGAGGATGATTTTTGTAAAAAATAAGCCTTTAGTTGATAACAATAGGTGCAGAAAGATGTTAGTCTAAGCTTATATTCATTGCATAGCACATTTTTAGCAGTACAAATTAAAAATAAGTTTAAAAATTTTATGAACAAAATTAAATAGTTTTGTTCCATTACCAGTACTTTATCAATAGAGAAAGACTCATTGCGAATTGTACGACCATCCTGATATATAGAATTGATTCGAAGCAAGGCTATTTTTTCAAAGAGTTGCAACTGAAAATCTTTCGTTTGAGGTTCGTTGTGTTTCTTCAACGGATCAAATTATGTACATATTTTTCACAAGACCGGATGTCAGTGTTGCGGGAATAAAATATCTAGAATATTTTTCGTCCGACTCAAATGTTCCAAAACTTATTTCTTACGTTTTCAAGGGTCGAAAATGAAACAAATATAAAAAATAACTTTTATGCCCCTTTTTCACTTAAAAAAATAGATTTAGAAGTTTTTTTAGATTACCCCTTTTGACACCACTATACCAAATATTTTCTCCTCTTGAAGTGTCCCCCAACGAATTTGCTATATTTCCTCGACTATATCTACGTAAGGCACAAAAAAGTAATGATTTGAATCTGTGGCAAGTAGAGCTATGGAATAATAAAAATGATGTAAAACAGTAAATTCTAGAAAAATAACTTTTGCATAATCACCTGTTGACAGTAGTTTCTTCTTCTCCTTCTTCTGTCGACCAGTTTCTAAAGACTTATGATTCTTGAAAAATCTAGCCATGGAGCTGTAAAAAAGCCTATCAAAATTATGTGGTTGCTTTTTGCTCAGTGGCGCTCCAAAGGAGAGTTCATCACCCCCCTCCAGTCGCCTTGAGCGATCTCTGTATAAAATGAAAGAATACCTACATTGAACATAAATATCTGTAACTTTAACAGGGTATATTATTAGTAGTGGCAACCCGTTCTGTGTGTTTATGGCTACCCTCTCACCATCGATCACGGGATCAAGATCATTCCTCATTCGCTTACCGTTTCTTTACTATTTGTATATCGCTCGCTGTGTCGTTCAGTTTCTGTCTTAATTCCTAATCAACAGGTATCAGGTGTCTCAAGTTTCATTACCAGCACGAGAAAACTATTGTAGTATTCGCGTTCAGTATTGGATATGCATTTTTTTTAAATGCTTCCATATGTCTAAATGTCTAAAATCCATGATGTCGGTCGGTCGGCCCAACTATCGGCCTATTCAGCAGGTTTGCGTAATCTCACTATAGTCTGAACCAAATATGAAGTTTGGGATGCGATATACCAGGGGATTATAAGAAATAATACTGTTATACTTTTGGCAATGTTTCGTGCCGAAGTTGATAACAAAAATGAGATCTAAAAGCAGGCAAAAGTTCTACCAATTTCATTATCCATCTTCTAAAAATCCAACCCTTATTTCTATGAGTTTATTAATTAGCTAAAAAATACTTGATTACTGAAACATGTTGAAACTGGTTAATAAAAGAGTATTCTTGTGAAATACAATGCATATAGAACGCCCTAATTTTTTTAAATCAACTATCTTGAACCTATGCTAATAAAATGGTGGACAATGATCCCTCATGACCCTTTCAAATTCTCTTATTCGACACACTTAAGAAAATAATCAAGTAAAATGTTATTAATAAAAGAACATTTTAAGGTTTTCCCTTAGACATGATAGCAACTATAAGGCCTTTTTTGAATAATACTGCCCAATTTTTTTCAAAATTTAGTGAGAGTACCATAGGAAGCTCACTTTACCATCCCTAGAATAAAATTCTGGGAGTGCCACTGTTTTTGTTTGATTATGCTTTATGTGGCCCATAACTGCAACATCCTAACAACCGAGTTGCACGTTTTCATAGTTTCAAAACTGAAAAACGATTCAAATCTTTGTCACGTAGATCAATCGAAGTATGCAAATAAAAAAATCTCAAGCTTGCGAGAAAAACAATTTTTGCATCTTTATGTGCTTAAGATCTCAGCTGAAACAATACTGTACATTTGTTAAATACTGGCAGGTTGAATTCAAGAGGACTCTTCGGAATCGATATGAGTTTTGGACATTTTTCCCAAATTCGAATGAATTTGAACCTGTTTAATTGTAATTACAAGTTTTTGGTATAAGTTAAATTAAACAAAAATTATAGAAAACATCTTGTCCCTACTCTGAGTGGTGGTCAAACCTGGATTTTGTTTGCTGAAAAAGTTATGTTCTCAATTGTTACCAAACGAAGCGCAATAAATCGTGTTTGTTTTTTTAATCTACATTAGATGAAATTTACACTATTATACCGTAGCGTAGGTTGTACATGATGGTAACATGCTGACGCTATTAATGTTTAAGAATGGAGTATTGCTTCCTACATATACCTAATTATTATGTATCGATGAAAATGCATTTTTATAGTTTGTAAACAACATTATTAAAAAATAGAATCAGCACCATGAGTATATTCAAGCAAAGTTTTTAAAGACATGGAATATCACGCACTGTGTCAACCTTATGGAGGGTGATTAAAAAATCAATGGCACTATTCCAAGATCTGAGAGTGAATCCAAAAATGACAAAAATGTTCCTATTAAAATAGGTCCTAAAATGACGCATGATCGCATACCTCGAATAGAGGATAGTTGCTATGCTCCCGTTCGTGGTTCCACCTGAGACCAGGCCTAGACCATGCTGATGAGTTGCAAAAAGCACGAAAGAATTGTCCATGGTAGGTCGTCTGTAGTCGGACGGACGAAAGCAGTATATTAAGATTCAGGGAGCTGGAAATTCCCACGCTACTGAATGAAGACAAAACATGAACATTGTTCAAATGACGTCATGTTAAGATAGGATCACTGTACTAATGCACTACATGCAATTTTCTGCTTCAAGCTTCATTAACGCATCGTCAAAGTAGAGCAATTTGAGGTATCTATACGGATTTTACCTCGAATATTCAAGCCCATTTATCTCCAAAAATATAGTCTTACAAACAATTCTCGGGAGAGGCGATTCATGTAAAATTAAATACTTTATTCACAAATGCACTAAGTCTATCGAAAAAGTCAGTGACGTAGAAAATGATTTGCTTTCTTCTTCTTTATTGGTCAAAATTTCATTCTTCCTACGCCACTGATGAAGTTTCAGACACCATAATTTTTTAACTTATCGGCTATGTTGTTAGTACTACATGCACAAAATACCCTGTATCTCGGTTAGATGACTTTTGGTTCCCATGCTTGTAGAAACTTTTCTTGTTATTTTTCTAAGTACTTTATGCCCAGCAATATTGCCACCTTTTATGAATCACCCCGTATACTCATTGTAAGCATAAGTAATATAAATAAAAACCTTCTCTGCGCGAAGCAAACTACCATGTAAGCTTAGGAAATGATCATTGGGTGAATCTTTCAGTTCATTTTCGACCTAAGAATACATTGCAAATATTTTTGACAGTGATATTCAATTTCACTGCAGTGCAGTCTTTTGGATAAATTGATTCGGATACTTCAGGCAGAGGCATGCTCCTGATTATCTTCAGGATCTCAACCACTTGCTTATACGACATATTGTGTTACGGAAAAGTATTTGCTCGAATATAAACAGTATAAAACAATACCTTTAGTAAAAAGTCCTGAAAACAGTTCGAGATCCATTTACACGATATGAAAGATTCATGAGATTTTTGGAGTATTCCAAATAATGGGAATATAATTTAGATTTAGAGGCTATTATCGAAATTTGAAAAAATGAATAATTTGAATGGTAATACAACACGGAAATTAAAATACTAGTCGTTAGTCAGCAAATATTCCTGATAACTACTATAACAATACCTACATAAATAGGTATACAGTTTATACATGGTTATATAGGTACACGCGTGCGTTTAAACGTTATAGTCATCAATCTAAAATCATGTAATATATCATTAATAGCATTCTTTATTACCAAAATATGACCCGCTGACATGAGATTTTTTGTTTTTATAACTGTAATTAACTATATTAAGACGACAGTTAGGATCTTCAGACCTATTATTGGGAACAAATGCAGTCATTCACAGTCATAATGTTTTATGATGCTATTTGAGTCGTCAAATAACTATCACATAAATATATAGGTAGCCGTGCAATAATCTAAACAGTTTAATATATGACATAAATCTGTGATTTGCCATTAGTCATTTACAATTTTATATTAGCCTGTTAAACATTTATCTCATCTGTTAAAATTCATCTTTTGGACACGTTCAAAGCTTCTTGGTATCAGTTTACAACTAACGGTATTTAGAAATCGCTTTTGTTTCTGTTTTGTTATATTATATTGACCAATTTACCAATAAATGTCGTTACATACTAAAATAATAGTGAAATATTATGAAAATGCTGAAAAACGTGCATTGCAAGTAAATGCAAAATTGTCTCTATGACCGACTCAAACAAAAGGTCAGGTCTCAAGTAGAATTAAAAATAAAAGTAAATTGACCATACTATTGTATCGCTGTTGGTTGCGACATTACCTGACAACGAATTGGGGAGAGTTCTCGTGGCCGTCATGTTGTGTCCGAGATACTTATTTACTTGTGTGTTGAAAAGTGGGACTTAACACCCAGACACCCAAAAAATGCTATAGTACCACGTTTCGGCTTATGTTATAGACCTCCTTTTTGTGTTCAAAAAAAATTGTGTTAAAGTGTAACTGTTAAAAATCAATTTTTAGTTTTTGAACAATATTGAGCTCCATGACTATAATTAGTTGGGACGTATATAATGATAATGACAATATATTGTCTGAATCTGAAACTAATATTAAAATTTGCACGTTTCGCTGTTGATAAACACGAATTATGATGGTATAGGTCAAAGGCTCTTCAAATCGAAGATACCTTTTTTGCTTTTCCTTGCTACTATTTTGTAGTTCCAATAAATATTAATTTTGATGAAGAAGAGTGCTTAAAAAATGTTATCGAAGTGCTGAAGGTATGTTCTGACAGGTTTGTAAGTTCGAAATCAGAAAAATCAACAACTTCATTGTCGATGCATGCCACACATTTGTCACATATAAATATTTCAATATTCAGCTTAAAATGTGTTGATTTTGATAAATTACAAAAAAGCTAAAAGCATCGAGTCTGAGTCCGGGTTTAGATTTACTTTTATGTAACAACTTTTTCATGGTGCAAAATTTTATCAAAATCGGTTCAATAGTGCCTGAGATATGTAGTGTTAAAGATTTGGCGTGCTCAGATAAATCACCCCTATATCGGTAAAAATATAATTTACAACTATTTTAATATATAAAAAAACTTGGTTCCATACTATCTACCGTTTGACTATGTCCATTTAAGCCCAGAACATCCTGTATTACCAGAATCAACCACTGCAACAGTGAATAGCAGCAATCTATTGAACCTAGATGGATATCTCAGTTCGCGTCTGAAGGGAAGTGATCGCTGAGACCGCTTGATGCCGTCGGTTTTGGACATACTATAGTAGATGATGGCTGCATTGAAAACTGATAGTGCTATCAAATAATAACGAAAGCAGCATTATTTGTGAAGAATATCAGGTTATTTACTCGTTATAGTATCCGATATAAAAACAAGCAAATATTAGAAGCTGCTCTATTTCTACATTCAGGCGATCCATCAATATTTTATTTTTAAACTCATTCGCAGTTCCATTCAAAAATAAATAACCTTTTGAGAAATCTAAAATTAACATATCACTGCTAAACTGATCAATAGTCAAGGAGAAATAATGTATCTCCTGAAAGAAATATGATGTTCAATCATATGGTGCATCTGGACGTTCGCTTTCAACTTTCGGCGTCTCAACCATGTTGCCAAGTAACGTGGCAGTGGTTCTCCTAGAAGTAATCAGGACAGACTCCATTTTCCTTTTAAAGAAACTTGTCTATTCTTAAACAAGATATCAACCTGCCAAAGAAGTATCACCCCCAACCTCTCTTATAATTGCTCCTAAGATTCTTTTTTCTCAACGATGGAATAGGAAATCCCATAAACTGGGTTGAGCGCGTTCTTGTGGAATATATTACTCGTTATAAGAAAGCGCGAAGCGCCATCTATCACACCAGAATCGACCACTGTGGATAGATGGCGCTTTGCGCTGTCTTATTTCGATAGACCGTACGTTCGGTATAGAGGATCGTTGAGATGTTTCCGTTCGGAAACTACACGCATTGAC